CTGGGATTATAGGCACATGCCACCATGGCTGGCTAATTTTTTTGTATTTTTAGTAGAGACAGGTTTCACCATGTTGGCCAGGCTGGTCTCGAACTCCTGACCTCAGGTGATCTACCTGCCTCGGCCTCCCAAAGTGCTGGGATTACAGGCATGAGCCACTGTGCCCGGCCCAGAAGGAGCTTTGAAAGGTATTTTGTGACATGGGGGGCTAGGAGGGGAGGCCTAGAATAGTTGCCTGAGACTCGTCTTCCCCCACAAGGAGGAAGAAAGGGGAAACACTGCAGATAGGAGGCCAGGACCTGGGTCAGCAGAGAGCACCCACCTCCCCGGCCCCTGTCCCAGTCAGGCAGGCCAGTGAATGCACCATTCTCAGAACCTCACCGTTGGTTACTTGGATGACCTTTGGGATCTGGGCCCAGTTACCCTAGTGTCTTCACCTTCCTGCAAGCAAATTCTCCAACTAGGAGCCTCCACCCCTGAGTCCATTCCTGGCAGGGTCAGCAGGAATGAAGTAGAGAGCCCTGGGGCATCTGAGGAGCACACAGAGGAGGGGAGGTACACCTGTTCCCCTGAGGGGGAAGTGGAAGCAGGTCGGGAGAGTTCTGGCAAGCAGGAGTCTTGCAGCTTCCCCCACTCTAACCATGACCTTCTCCCCTCTCCCCTCTTGGACCTAGACCCAGCAGCCCTAGATCCAGCAGCTGCCCAACAAGGGGAAACATTTTCTAGGACAGGTGGCATGGATGGGTCCCTTCCCCCACCAACTGGTGCATCTAGCCTGGGACTCTGAGCCACCAGCAAAGAATGTGATATGTAGGCCAAATAAGATAAACTTTATAGCACCAGGAAAAACCTGCATAGGTTCAAATGAGGATTCCATTCCTAGATGACACAGCCCTGGGAAGACTCGGAGCGAATGGGATGCTGGAGGCTCTCTAACCCAGCATGGGGCCCAGAAAAATATGGGCCCATCTAACCTGTGCTGTCCCATACCATAGCCCTCAGCCACATGTGGCTACTGAGCCCTTGAAATGTGGCTAGAAAATCAGATTGTAACACCTGCAAATGAGGAAATGAATGTTTAACATTTCACTGAATTTTAATTTAAATAAGTGGCCAATGGCTACTGTATTGAATACTGCAGTTCTAACCTCCAAGAAGAGCAGAGGGGATAGAAGCATTGCCTGGGAGTCTGGCCAATCTGGGTTTGCATCCCAGCCTGGCTGCTTGCTAGCTGTGTGGCCGTGGGCAAGTAACGTAACATCTCTGAGCCTCAGTTTCCTTGTTTGTATAGAGATGACCACTGGTAGTGATGCCACAACCCAGGGGATCTCTGGGAGAACAAAGGAGATGCTATATGTGAAATAATCAGCATAATTTCCCTGTCAATAATTATTATTTTCTGAGGATCAAGTCCGGGAAGACAGCTGAGGCCTCTTAAAGCATATCGCTTGCTACTGTCTCAGGCGCTATCCTGAGCTGGCAGAGAGTGATGGTATATTTCTTAAAAGACGTATTGTCCTCTACTAAGAGCACTGGATGGGAAATCAGGACACCTGAGCTCTTGAGAAACAATAAAGTACAGTGGTCGGGCATGTGAACTGCGAAGCCAGATTGCTTGAGTTCAGATTCCAGCTCTGCCACTTATTAGCCGGGTGATCTTGGACAAGTTACTTTACTTCTCTGTGCCTTGGTTTTTCCATCTGTAAAATGTGGATTATAATCCCATCTTGTTATGAGGATTAACTGAGTTAATATGGCTAACATCTATGTGCCTGGCACATTTTAATCACTCAACAAACGTCAGTTGCTTTTGCTGCTGTTGCTATTATTATTATTACTATTGTTCTTGCCCTGGCTGGGCTCCTAACTTGCTGGGTGGCCTTTAGTAAGTTACTTGCTCTCTCTGTGCCCCCAGGCTTTCTCCTATGACTGCTGCACCAAAGGAGCTGGGACAGATGAAGTCCTAGGATGCCTAGAAGGGTTGTTCTTCAGGATTTCAGTCCCCATGACCACCCTATCCCGCGTGGCCCCAGCTGCCACTCACCGATGATGATGCCGCAGGTGAGCAGGGCATAGAAGGAGGTGGTCTGCTTAAGCAGCAGGTAGGAGAGCAGCACGTTGAAGACGGTGGTGAGCGAGCGGCCCACATTGTAGAAGGCCACACCGACGTACTTGAGGCAGAGGTTATTGAAGGTGATCATGCCGATGAAGACCACTGACAGAGGCAGGACACTGCGGGCCACCCTGAGGTCCAGGCGCAAGCTGGGGAAGTCCACGGCACCAGGGCAGCAGGCGGCCAGAGCGCTGAGGCCCTTGCACAGCAATGTGGTCACCAGGCACTGGTAGAAGGTGACGAAGATGGGGGTGTCCAGCTGCAGCGAGGGGCTGTCCAGCAGGTACTTATTAAGGAACACCATGGAGATGGAGGTGACCCAGTAGAGGGAGACCACCAGCGCAATCTGCAATGCCCGCAGCAGAAAGGGCTTCTCCTCGTTGGCCTCGGCCTCTGTAGAGGGGTCTGAGGCCCCGGTCAGCGCCATGTGCAGGATCCTGGACCGCTTCAGAGGGGCCCTGTTCATGGTAGCACAGGAGCTGGGTCACCCCACAGCCAGAACTCTGATTCCCTGGAGTCCAGGGCAGTGAGCTCACTTGTGCTCTCCGCAAGCCGCAGCCCTGATTGTCACATGGGGGTTGGCCTAAAGGCCTCCCCAGTGTCCTCATGGATAGAGAAGTTCTGCTTTGGGGTGAGCCCAGTAGTGCCGCTCCACAACCTGCTCCCACCCCAAGGGGGCTCCTGAGACAAGACACAGGGCAAGGGGGAGGGATAGGCTAAGGCGGTGAGGCCAGGGTAGAGAAGACCCGTGAGGGGAGAAAAGGCTGGGGCCTAACAGGGAGGGGTCGCAGAGAGAAGGGAGGGGAGAGGAATGGCAGGGCGGGGCAGGAGGCGGTACGCGGGGCGAAGGTGCAGGAAAAGGACGCCGGGCAGAGTTGGAAGAGCTGCCGAGAGGGCGGCATGGGCAGCTGTAGGAGGGAGGGGTGGGCAGGGGGAGGGAGGCGTCAAGGGAGCTGCCGCAGGCCGGGCGCAGCTGGAGGGAGGGCTACGGAGGGGTCAGAGGGGCTCCGGACTTGGGGCTGACGGACGCGGGAGGAGGCTGGGCCGGCGCCCACGTCTCGCTGCCTTCCCGGGCTCTGTCGCCGGCTCAGCCCAGGAGCCTCCGGACAGCCGAGGCCTACTCCCCGCGAGGCGGGCCGGTAGCACAGGAGCTGGGTCACCCCACAGCCAGAACTCTGATTCCCTGGAGTCCAGGGCAGTGAGCTCACTTGTGCTCTCCGCAAGCCGCAGCCCTGATTGTCACATGGGGGTTGGCCTAAAGGCCTCCCCAGTGTCCTCATGGATAGAGAAGTTCTGCTTTGGGGTGAGCCCAGTAGTGCCGCTCCACAACCTGCTCCCCTGGCTGCTTGCTAGCTGTGTGGCCGTGGGCAA